GCAGCACAGGAGGACACAGGTACTACCTACACACAAAGGGCTCTTCATACAGGCTGTGCTTGCTGTCTACGTAGATGTAAAAAGAAAGATCAGAAAAAAACCCTCAATATTGCCTGGCAGCCTGCTCGCTTGGCCACTTACAGATGTAGGTGTAAAAGCAAAGGACAGAAAAGCTGCAATGCCCAAGACTGATTTTTTTTTTTAAAAAAAAAACAAAACGAAACCCCTTTGCTCCTAAAGCTGCTGTTACTATACCAACAACTACCCAACAGGAAAGAAAGTGCATGAAGTGGCAGTAACAGCCTTTAATCTCTATGTGTTTTAGGCAACAACAAGGAAATGAACAGATGACATAGAAAACCTTGCCAGGAAGCTTTAGCAGTAGCACATATCCTCAATCAGTTATCTTTGGCGAGAAGTTAACTTTTAGAAGATTAAACAGCCAAAAGAAAAGCTCTAAACTCAGGAAAAAGATGGAGAGGATTAAGACTACAGCCTGTATGGCCCCCTTGTCCAAAGGACGAGTACACTAGAAGTAAATGGTTATTTTCCTGTGGTGCCATTTATTTAATTTGTGTGGAGAGAAAAACAGGAGGATTCTATTACACATACGACAGCAGAGAAGACAAATAAAACCTGATTTTAAAGGACCACCAGTCCTCACTTTCTTTTTTTTTTAAAGCAAATGTGAATTAATTTAGAATATTTTCTTCCAGTCACAAGACAAAGAAGCATAAACCACCAGGGCCTGTACGCACCAGTTAGACAATGCTGTGAGGTGCAGTGGGCGTTTGCTTATACAGATGTCCCAGCAATATAAATAATCCCTTTGCAGGGCGCTAGAGGGCAACTGCAGGCTGGGGCAAAGTCTTCAAGTCTTGAATTTCTCCTTGCTGCTCTCACAAACCTATGGATTAAGAGAAACAGAGCCAGGCAGTGCATGCAACAGAATTGTTTCTACTGGAAAACCATGCTAATGACTGTGAATGTACTGTAGATTATGGAGGGCTTCTAGAAGTGAGAGACACTTTTCTAGCTTGATTTCAGCCTGTATCACCGCTTCGATGATTGCTGAAGGCTCATATCTATGATTGTGTAGGAGGAAGTGATGTTATTTTGCACTTTTTCTTCCTTGCAGCCACTCAGAATAGGAGCTATAGGGCTGCTCACTGCAAGAAAGCGAGGACTTTAGGAACACAGTTACTGTTCAGTGCTGGCCTTCACTGACCTGGCGTGTTAAGGTCCAGCTGAATCCCCACTGACCCAGAGCAGTCAGTCACACTTAGGCTGCTTCATCAGTCTGCTTCTCTTAGATCTGCTTTACTGCACCATCAGCTCCTCTTCAGAATCATGCCTCCTTCATTTACCAACTCGGAATGATTGCAGCTTCTCTTCTCCAAAGCAGAGTGAAATTGCCCCTGTACACGCACCATGGCTGACCTGAGCGGGAGAACAGCAATGAACACAGCTGACAAGAGACCACACCTGAAGAACCCACACGCTAGCTGTACCACATTCCTTGTGGACCCTCTGCAGATAATACAGGGGGCAGCATCAAGCAACTGACTGCTCTTGGGGGAGCCCTGCTGCCGCACCTGCGACCAGAGCCTGCTTTTGGTAACGCCTGGATTACGCACTACGCACCTCCTTAACAAGCCTCTCGCTAGCTCTGACATCAGTACACCAGCTGAGCCGGCTCCCGACTCCATACTTGATGGTAACTTGCTGAGTGCTGCACCTCTGCCATAGCTTGTGTCAAATTACACTGCACATCATCAAATTACAAAAAAGGGTGGAGCTGGTCAAAAATCACTGGTCTAGGTACAGCATACCAGTCAGGTTTCTGAGCCTAAGAACTTCTTAAGATATTCTATTAGAGTTCCATTTTGTTATTACCTAAAAAGATGCTTTAAGGGTACAAAGTCTGTCTCGCAAAAGCTTTCCTATACCTTCCTTGCTGCCACGGGTCCAGAGAGGATCAGTAACCTGTCACACAGCACTGCTTTGGGTAAACAGCACACAAAGCCTGCCCCAGAGCAGGCAGCTGGCTTTTCTCAGAGCAAGACACTAAGGCTTGCTCCTTGCTGCTGCTGGCTGAGAGAACTGGGGCTGTAATGCATGCGCGTCTGCTCCTCAGGGCTGTTACAGAACTGCTGAAAGCACAAAACACAAACAAGTTTTGCAGCATTAAATAGGGAGCTCTTAACCGAGAGCCACCCCCAGACAGCACTAACCTGGCTGGGCGTGGGTAGGGCCAGTCTTTCCTTTGAGGAAAGGGTCGAGTTACAGGTGAAGCCAGAAGTTTTGTCAGTTTACAAACTCAGCCAACATTGCAAAGTTGGGGCACTGAAATGGGAAAATCGGGTCATGCACAAGTTAGAAAGAGGTGGAGATAAGCCACAGGTACACTTTTAAAGGACATTGTGGTTTTTGCCCCACAGTGCTCTAAATGCATGTAAAACTGGTTATGAGGCAGACTACGGGGAATGAAGCAGGAGGAGCCTTGGAATTTTACAGCTGGAGATTAAAAATACCAGTTTAAGAACAGTTTCCAGGGCAGGAGGACTGGTCACATGAAGGCAGCAGCTCTGTCTGATGTTTCCTGCTCCAGGAGTTCCCGTGAAGCCCTAACTCCAGTCCTTTCTTAGGAAACACAGGAATGAGGATTTACTTGTTTTTCCCCTGCACACACTTGGATTTAATATATTTACATCATATATAAAGCTCACCATCTTTTAATGTGAGTTCCCCACAGAATAAAGGAAGAGCCAAGCTGTTCTGAGCTGTCACAATTAAATACGCACAGGCGAGAAATACTTAACTCTTCCTGGGGAACACAGACACGAGCCACATCCTGCTTGGCCTGTCCTTGTAGCTTGTGTGGCACCGAGAATGAGAAGCTGCCTGGAGTCTGGCTTCCCTTCTGAAGCATCTGCCTTCCTTGGAGCACAGCAGGACAGGGCTCACCTCCCAATTTCGCACAATTTCACAAAAAAAATAATGAAAGCAACTGTCTCAGCTTTCCAAGTGTAAGCACTGTATAAAATGTTTTACGGAACTCAGCTGAAATTGCTCTAGTATTGTTTTCGCATCAGAATATGGTCTCCTCTACTAGTCTTTTCTGACAATGTTATCTAGAAGAAAAATATGACAAATTATTCTGATTTAAATTTTGTTTTGTCTAAGTTGAGAGCCCTCATACATACAGACCTAGCAAGAACCATACATTCAAGTTTTGTTCGGGATTTTGGAAAGCATGAAAAATACCAAATTTGAAAAGCAGCTTGAAGTAAAAAAGGAAAGTACCTGTAAGAATAACGGGAAGAAGGAATGGAATAGAGATAAGAAAATATGACAGTGTTGTAACGTGAATGAAAAAGACTGTTTAGCTAAAAATTAGTTTCAAATTTGACTTGCTCACTGCTTGTATAAAAAGAAAAATACTTGGGAGCCTTCCCTCCACTTCCCCCTCCAACGAGGTCAGCACTAAGCTGGGGAAGCCACCCAACCCGCAGTATGTATTTCCTAATTGCCTCAATGACTTCTTTCCCTTCTTGCACAGAACATACTGTAATACTCAAGACAGAAAATGTTCATCTCCACAAAAGGCTTCTGAATGTCACAGGACTGAAACTGCAGTGCTGGGACCCCTGGTGTGCTCCCGAGCCTCTGCAGGCAGCGCAGGATGGCCTCGCAGCCCCCCGGGCACGGCTCAGACAGGTGTCTCCCAACGCGCCCATACAGACACAGAATGACCAGCTTGCAGTTCTAATACACTTTACCCATACTGGCTGGCCAGACAACCCCACGTCATTTCTGAAATCGTTTCCAAGACAAAGTGTGACCTTTGGGAAACTTCAAAATACAAACAGTAAAATTTCTAAGCTGACTACTCCCAAAGTCACAGCAAACCGACTCCAGAACTGTCAATGGGTTTTTACATTACAGTTCTGGTCTGTGTCCTGACAACTTTGCTATTAACACGCTCTAGTCTATCACTTTTTTTGCCAGTATCCTTTTACCTTCCTTCAAAAAGGCTTATGTTGGTCAAAGAATTATTAAAATATTTTTTTCTGACAACTTTTCAGAAGAAAGGGCTTGGTGACCTCACTGCAGGACTTTGTAGTAGTTTATTAAGGAGTTCAATAAAATGTTAAACCAAGAAGGCACGAACAACTGTACCAGACCCTACAGGGACAGGGAACCCTATGCCCTACATGGCCTCCAGAAATCCAAAGGGCCCAAAGCAGTTGTACAGTTTCATCCTCAGGCTGAGAAGACGATGCGTAGTTCGCCAGACTAAAACAAGGACAAAAGGTCTGGCTGCGCAGAGGGGGCTCCGCAGCTGAGCAGCGAGGTAGGAATCTTGTTTCTAATCCCACCAAATGCTGAGGTTGTTCTAGATGGGAGAGCTGTGAGACAAAGCTTTACAGCTTTAACTTACAAAAAACACTAGGAGAATGTTCTCTCTGCAAGTGTAATAGCTTTGTATTTAGAACACTTAGGCTTCAGGTAACCTCTGCAAAGCACCAGAATCCTTCTCCCGCAGGTGGTGGTTGCTGTTCCACGCGGAAGCAGCAGCAAACACCTTTCAGTCCAGTTTTGCTCCCCTGGCAGGCGCAAGCAGGCACTGCCTGTGGGTTCAGACACAAAATGTTGCAGTTACAGCTCAGTCTCTTACCTTGGTGTAAGTCAGACGGTTGCAGTGTGCAGGAGGGCAGTACAGCTTAAAAAGGAAGGCCAAGACTTTTCTGGAAAGCTAAATGAATTCTCATTTGTCAAACTGGCACTCCTACAACTTTTTCCAGAATCCTTTTTAAGTGTAGAAGATCATTCATAGGCATGCTTTCCTGGCAGGGACTAAAAAATGTCACTGCAAAACAGAGAAAGACCTTTTATTTTAATTGCAAAGGCAGGAGGGAACTGATGAGAAGCTGAAAGCACCCGAGATGTGTGTTACTGTCAGGTGGGTGGAAAGGCTGGGAAGATAAAGCAGCAGCAGACTTGATCTAAAGATGTTATTCCACTGCTTGGAACCTCTTGGGGAAAAAATATAAAAACAACAAAAAAGGTATCTTTTTTCTCTCTCTGAATATCCTCATCAATATTTTATTCGCCTAAAGTTTGAGGTGTGTAGCTGAAAACTGATGCCTTTCTTTTGCCTAAGCTGACTGCAAGTCTGGGACCTAACACCTGCCATGAACAGAAAAAGCAGATTTTTAATTAAAAACCTACTTCATTAAAACCTGACAGTTACCTGATGATGAGCACTGCAGGCACATACTAGAGGAAATGTTTTAAACTAAGTGAAAGATACGAATGGGGGTGTGTGGAACTAATAAAAATAAAGTCACTAGTGCCGCCCCCCAGCCTTGCTAAATCTTAGACCCTCCCGCCCCCTCCCCCCCCCAAAGGGCTGTGCTGCTTCTTACTGTTTCTTCAGGTGTTTCACGGCTCTCAGCCAGCTCAGAGGCCGTCAGCCCCTCTGCCCGCGTGCAGCGACAGACCTGCCTGAGAACAGAGGAAAAGGTTAATGACAGTGCACATGCGTGGCTGGACAAAATTTTCTACCGCGCTAAATATGCTCTTGTCACACTGGTTAGAGCAGAAAGGATTGGGTGTTTCACCAAAGCTTCCTCACCTGTTGTAACAAAACTGTACCCAAAGTAATGTTACTGGTCAGTCAGGTTCATTCTTGAACGTTCCTGTTTGCCTTCCAGTCAACTCACAGTTATCGCCATTTATCAAACTAACAGGAGCCATGAGCTTTCAGGAGAGTTCCCCATCCCAATATAGCAGAGTACTTTAAAGGACAAAAGTTCTAGTTACCTCAGGGAAGCTTTTCTGTCAATAAAATAAAAGAACTGGAAATGCTGGTTTAAACAAAATAATAAAATCCACATTTTAACAGGCTACAGGTACAAAGCACTCAACACACAAACTCCAGCCAGTCACAACAGTAAAGGACAGTTTTCTTTTTCTTTTTTCCTTTTTTTTTTTCTTTAAGGGGCAAGGGCATGGAAAAATACAGCACACTAATGAAACAAAATGCAAAAAATACAAAAAAATAGAAAATAGAAAAAATGTATTTACAAGTGATACATTACTATGATCAGAAAGCACAAAGACAATTGCTGCTATAATACATGCACTGGGTCAAGAAGGAACTACTAAAAACCTGCAAGGGAGCTCTTTGTAAAAAAAGAAAATTAAAAAAAAAAAAAAGAAAAGAAAAAGAAAAAGAAGACGACACCCCACCCCCACCCCCCAAACGAACAGGGTTGGTTTGAACTTTTTTCTTCCCTAGTTTGCTACATTGATCAAAATCAAATATCCCCTAAAGTCCATGAGTACAATCAGTACAAATACTACACTTGTTTTTAAACTGCAGGTTCAGTTGTAGGGGGCGGGAGGGGAACAGCAGCTCATTGTAGATCCATATACAGGAAAGCCATAGTAAACTGCTCTACATGCTAAAAATTACAGCAAGCCCCTGTCTGCTACATAGCATGATCTTAGCAGGTTTTCCTTTTTATTTATTCATATATATATCTATACGTGTGTATATATATATGTATAAAAATCGTGCCCTTTTTCACTGCAACATGACATCTGGGTGGAAATGTAACTTGTTACAACAAATTTTCATATGTATACTGCAAGAAGTCACTCAATGTCTGTGGATTTAATAAGTAACCTCACACCACAGGAAATATTTAATAAATCAAAAAACCCAATATTGTGACAGAAGACCTTCTGTCTCAGTTCTTTTCAAAACCGAAGTCCAGCAGGAAACTGGTCCCAATGTACACGAGGGGTTCTCTGAAGAAGCTTCAGTTTGCTTAAACCGTTTTTTTTCTTTTAGTGTTCACAAGTTTTTGAACGACTTCAAGCCGTTTTCAGTTTCAAGTGTGTCTCTTCCGCTCACAAAGGTAATAGTCTGGTACTAATCCATCTGAGTGAGGAAAAGAGGAAAGTGGCTGCAGTTGCACAAAGGGTCCCCAATTCCACATCTGCAGGGAGATACGGAGTCACGCGGAGCTCCAGGATCTTAGCTTTTTTCTTTTTCTTTTCCTCCTTTTAATACAAAGTCCTTTCATACAAGTCTCATAATTGGTACCTTCCCAAGTACCAGCCAGTCCAGATGGCAGGAGACGACAAAGCCACAAGTTAAAGTGAAAAGGACCAAGGCAGAAGTTCAGGTCACTTTCTATCTGTTCCATCATACTTCCAGGAAACGGGAGCTGCTGGACTTGGAGTGGAAAGGCTCAGACCACATGCGGCGTAGATCGCCCTAGGCAGGGAAACAGCAGATGGACCAAGTCCTCAGAAACCTCAATGTCCATTTAGAATTCAGATTTTAAAATGCACATATAATTGCAAGCATGTCTTAAAGCAACTCTATTTCTTCACCCGTTTTGCAATTTACAATAGAGACAGTAAAAGATAAATCCTTTCCCTGTAAAGCCAGAATGTCTTATTTTGGCAGCAGATCTACCTAAAATGGGTTTCTGATGGGAAGGAAATATTTATGCAGGTGGAAAATTCTGCCATGTCTCACACGCCACTCTGCAGAGTGGTAGATGTGTGTTTCAACAACAGCCCAGTAACAGGAAAGGTTACGTTTTAAAATTCCAGTTCAGAACAGGTGACTGGAAAGAGGTAAACAAGGATCTGCCTCTCCAATCTCTGTTCGACCTTTGTGCACACAGTCTTTAATGACCAGCTGGGCAAGGACAAATTCACTTATTTAATTAAAACAGCATTTAATACTTTGGAATTTGGTTAGCTTATAATTACTGGTACTTTATGTACACAAATTATTTTCTATTTCAGGAACTCATCTCTCAGCTATGCAGTCCTCCAAAACGAAGATTCACCCTAACAGGAGCGGTACCCTAGTTCTGGGCCAGGGCTGTTAAGGAGGAGTAAGGACATGCGTCATCCTCAGGAGAACTGGTGACCAGTGCAAGAACACTGAACTGCTTCCAGCTGACCCCCAGGCTTCCTGCTGTGGATATATAATCCTCTCTTACCTTTAAATAGGCCATGGTGAGGAGCGGCAATAAAGTGAACGGTACCAAATAGAGTAGGGCAGGCTGGGCTGCCCGGTGAATACGAGAAGCTACTGTTGCAGTTAATAGACCTGTAAAAGAAAAAAGTGACTATAAATATCTTTAGGTTGCATACGAATGTTCTGATTGTTTCATCCACATGTGGCTCCCTTCCCCACCATTTTAAGAGACAGGCTGTGGAAAAGTTACTTACCTGTGCTTCGCTTTCCCTGAATAGATTTAAAACAAACAAAACAGCGAACAATTATTCTGCATTAATATTAGGCTGTGTTGAGCCACTTGCTCCAGATTTGAGTCTCAAAGACTAAGCTAAGAACAGCTCAAACAAGACACAACAAAAGGGGAAGGGGAAGAAGTTGAATGCACCAGGCTGAAGTGCTACTCCAGTGCTGGTACCTCTTGAGACTGTCGGTCTGAGGCCCCTAGCCTGAGAAACGGGGCTGAGAGAAAGGATTGTACACACCAGGAGTGATTTTCCTGAATACCTGCCCAACAGGAATGTAGGGCGAAGGCCGGGGGGTGGGAGGAAGAAGGCTATTGGTAGGAAATGATCTTTCCTTTCCATCCTTAGGAGGACTGCAGGAGGTCAGGATATGCATACACATGTCCCGACCTTAGGGAAAAATCTATTTTATGTTAGGGAGGAGAAGGATGGCTACATCAAATCATAAACAGCGTTCCAGTTGTGACTACTCAGGATTTTCTGTATGTACTAAAATGTCACAGGATCATAAGCATTAACAGTAGAATACAAAAATTACCTAGATGAATTACCTAGATGTACTCTTGCACAGCGTAATCCATCTAGAAATTTCCATTTTTCCCATAACCCAAGTATGAGCTAGTACACCTTCTATGCTAGTAAAGCAAAGTATAAAAGGTTGCTAAGAAAAGTACACTGATAATCTCTTCAACCAAAAAAAAAAATATCTTAAAAAGGAGACCGTAGAATGGTTTTTCTCCCTAGACTATGCCAATGAAAACCAAAACCAGGAGGATTAAAAAAAGACCGTAACAAAGCATTCTCTCAAAGCCTCTTTACATCTGCTTTCATCATCTTTTAAATCTACTACAATAATCCCACTTCTGCTCATGAAGCAGCTATCCATATTAAACTAATTACTCACCTACAAAATATCCAATAAGTGTGCAGTGAAAGTAAGAGACCTTCTGCATACGCCCAGAGATGTTCCCTGGTCCTGGGGCACCACAGGAATCACTGTTGGCTTGTTTTTTGTAGTTATCGTAGCGCAGGACAAAGCAGAGCAGAAGACCTGGCATCACAATATCTCCGATCCCCAGCATAGAGAAGTGGCTGCCTGTGGAACTAGAGAGCAACTGAAATTGGGTTCATGCCCAAGACACAAGGTGACGAGCCCTGGACTCCTCCACTTTGGTTCTGAGCTTCATTTTGCACATCCTTTCTTTCTACCGGCAGGCTTTTCTGTAGTAGAAGCTAAATACCAGGTACAGAAGACTTTTTCCTGAGTGATTTCACCACCACATCAACTCAGTTTTAAACATACACATTTTGACAGTAATGACATGTTGCTCCAAACCAGTTTATTTCTACCAGTAGTCTTTAAGCTGCTTTTGCTCTTAACTCACTCAGTGAAACAGATCCATCAAGTCAGTATTTCTATTTTCTCTCTTCTAAGCGTTGATGGGAGGTACCAGCTGGCCATTTTATCAAACTGGTTATCAGTGACAGACACTGCACCTTCATTCCCGTGTACATAGATCACCTCTGATACAAGGCAATAACTCAATTTATGGACTTCTCAGATCTCTGCCCTTATTCAGAAAAAATATGTAGAAAACTATAGTCTCACCAGACGCCCAGAAAAGAGCAAATTGCTAAGTAGATTTAAGAACTAAAATTGCCCATTATCTTAAATCCAAGATCTTTTTCATGAAAATGAAGCCAAATTAAGTTATCATGAAGTTGACAAAATGAACAATTTTGGTTTTATCATTGCAGACTCCTAATCGCCGTAATTTCAGCATCCGAACATCTGAAGAAACCAGACTGGAGTAAATACGCCCGGATAACCCACTGCCTAACTGCTTACGGCCCAACCGGGCCTACGCATACCTGGTTCAGAGCCGGAGACATGAAGGAACCCCTGCAGTAGAGAGCTCTGGAATAATCTCCCTCCAACACAGCACCTTCCTGGTAAGCCGTCCTTGCTTAGATCAGTCTCTAACTCCCTTCCCAATCACTTGCCATTATGCAGTAATCAAGACTATTCTGATAAATAAACCTCAGGTCGTTAGCTTTTAAGCATTATGTCATAAATCCTACAATAGCAGTCATTAAACTGTAGAACTCACATACATGTCAAAAAGCGTATCCTGTTCTGAACAGGCCACTTTTTAACCTAATGAGGATCACTTCTGCATGCCAAGTATCCAATCCTCAATACTCACTATATACCTTTTTAATCACAAAAAGGGTGGTGAAACAGGGAACTAAGCTGGTATTTTCCAATAGAATTAGTGCTCCAAAAAAGTACAAGGAGGGACAATTTTTCTTATGTAATACAGTAAAAGAACCGCTGATCTTACCTTGGAAATACAAGTTTACCAGGCAGCGACAGACGGGGAACATCTCTGCCCACATTTGGTCCCAGGTGAAGTTTCCGGGATAAAACGTCAAGGGGATTATCAGCTGGTTGTGTGGCCACTTTCACCATAACGTTACTGTTAAAGATGTAGGCAGAAAAAAAGACCTATGGAGCAAGGAAATAATCAGAAATTACAAACTGCAAATATATAGCAACTCAAAGCTGTGTGTATTCTTGCTTTGCTTTTTCAAGAAAGGATAATGTCCAAATTTTCCATATACGTACATTGCATATATGATGATAAAAGGCAACATGTATTTCAAAAATTCAGATAAAGTTTTTTACACTGTTAATCCTCAAGAATAACTGGAACATGCTTTCTGGTATCAAGACATGCATCAATAGAGAGAGATCCTCTGGCAAAGGATCTGTCTGGACTACAAGTAGGTAGTCCAAGAATACAAAGGCAGGTAGCAGGATACTGAAAATATGAGAAAGCTTGAAAGCACGGAGGAGGTAAGTGCAGCGCGCACTCACAAACGGAATGATGCAACACTTGCTTCAACCAGGCTCTTACGCTACAGCTCATCACACTGGGAAACTGACTGGCTGCCAGAGCTGTCAGCAAGTGCTTCCCTGGACCAGTGCTCGGTGTTATGCAAAGGTAAAACAAAATCCTTTCATTATTACAAAATATCTTCTGTCAGGTTGCTTGTAAAAGCACAGTAAGATTTTATGCCAACCTTGCTGGCTATAAATCAGTTTGCATTCCTGTTTTGCGGATTTCACTGCTAATCAGAGGTTGGCATGTGCGTACTGTGCAAGTGTGGATAAGGCTTTGTGTTTACTTGGAAATGCTTGTTTTGATCTTCAGCCAGGCTTTCAAAATTTGAGGTCCGCTTTTTTTTTTTTTTTAAATAATATGCCAAAGTTGAAATATTCTAATCATGTTTCTGCTTTTGTCAACTAATTAGCAAGGAAATAATTCTGTGTGCTGTTGCAGACTTTAACGTCTGAGAATGGAGCAATGAAGCTGATCTTCTGGCTTTGCCAGATTTCATCAACTTCATAGCAGTACATTTCATGTAAAAATGGCCCAAGGCCAATTACAAATCCAAAGGATAAAAACAGTTTTAGCAAAACCAAACAAAACACTTACCCAAAAGACATCATAAATTAGTAACCCAGAGAGCAGCAAGCAGGAAACCTTCAGGCTCGGCAGCCGAACAAAGGCTATCATTGCGACACACAGGCCCATAGCCAGAGCTACAAAATGCAAGCACATAATTAGTTCATTAAAAAAAGCAAAACAAAACAAAACACCCCAAACCAATATCACCCCCCAAAAAAACATCCCAGAGAAGCCTCTGTTTGCACCTGTGCAGCACTGCATGCACTAGATGACTGTCTGCTATTTCCAGAGGGTGAAATTCTTCTTACCAGAGTTAAGAAAAGTCAAACCACATTCAGTAGCCAACTGCGACCGTGCTCCCATGGGAGCAGAACCCCCCCCCTGCCGGCACAACTGCCCACTCCACTCGACTTCCACTGCCCACCACTAAGAAATGTTTTCATGTCTTGTGTCCTGGAGACTATCTCCCCCGTAAAACACTGACTACCCAGTTAAAAACAGAAGCAACAAAACAACTTTGAACTCTGTGTGCCCCAGACATAAAACTCTACTTTTACACTATTAGGAGGTTTTCTAGTAAATGCATGAAATAAAAAAAACCCTTGATTTTTAATTCAGAAATAGCATGGTTACATGACACGTTAGAACATGATATAACAAAAACCCACTCAAACCGATCTTCTGCTTGGGCAAGATTGTGTAAGGCTGCCCAAACGCTCACTACGAAATATTATCGTTTAGATATACAAGGATTTCCCAATAACAAAAATCTATGTGAAAGCCTACCTACCAATGGGAAAAAAAAAAAAGGGCAAGTCTTTTCCTAACCCCTCTCCCAAGGGTGAGTTTTCAGCCAGATCAACAAGCTGAACGACATGCCGCAGCTCCAGTGTTAGTTCTGTTCCAAGGGGAATTTTGTCAGGGTAGAAAACTAAGATGTTACACTAAAAATAAAATAAAATAAAATAAAATAAAATCCCAGTCTTCACATTTGTGTGATTCCCTACCTCTTTAAGCCTAGCCTTAGCTACCAAGGATACTCAACTGACTATCAAATACTTTTCAACTGGTTACAAGCAAATCCCTAAAGAGATCCCTAAAAAAAAATCTTAAAAAACTTAAAAGTAAATCAACTTTCATCTACGATATCAGTATATTTAGAAGCAATAATGGAGCCCTGTTGGGACCAGATTTCACTTAAGTATGCAGACATTTGTAAACAAAATGTCTAATACTCTGTCTAACGTGACACAGAATTTGTAAAAAGTTATAATCCTGTAATCCTGTTTTGACCAACTGTAACTGCAGGGAAAATGGATTCATTTCGTATATGCCCACCAGTGCGGCAATGTGACTAGGCCAAAATTTACAATGTAACATTTGGATTCTCACACTATAATTACACAACTGTAAAACTACCTTACGCTGGCGTTCAGCCCGAAAGATGTGGAGTTCTTCCATCAAAACACCAAGGAAACATTTCCATACAGATTCAAGGGAA